TCTTGTAAGTGTCTAGCATAATTATAAAATGTAGAGGTAGAAAATATGTTTATTTTTTCTTAAAGTGATTGAGATTCTGATTCTTCAGCCTTTACAATTGCAGTCAAAATTTCCACTGCCTCCATTATCTAGATACAATATTCACCATAAGCTGAAAATAAGTCACCAATTTAACCTTTCAATTGCTTTGGTTCTACTAGTACAAATGAAGAATTTTTTCTGGTGTAATAACTCCATCTCTATTTTGTAGTCATGAACATCATTGGAATCATTACAAATAAGGAGGTAAATTATTTTATAATAGATTTACCAAGTAACAATTGTGAAAAAAAACTTTATTAACGTAGAAATAACTTCATCTCCTATGGAAATGTGGTTTGAAAGTGCATTTAGTTTTATCGATGATGACTTTTAGGTCCATAGCTGAGGTATTTGCTAATATAATCAATTTTAATAATCACTTTCATATGTGTGAAAGGCATACTAGAAAACAGCATTATTTCAAACCGAATTTTCATTAAATTCTCAGAAAACTGCTAAATCAATAAAAGCAGATAGGTTTTCCTGAAATTTACTTAAGTAAAAAAAAGTCTAAAAAATTAAAGAAAAATATATCTAAAATTGTGTTATGGAAAGGTAAGACTGAAATGGTTTTCTAGTAAGAGGTGGGCAAGTGGTGGCAAAGGCACACAACAAAATTGGCATTTCGTTTCAATGTGACAACAGTCTTTTTGACAGCATATTAGTTTAACATTGAACATCCCACCAAAACAGTTATCCATTTCCAAGTGCATAATAAGTCATTGTTGTCCTTCACTGTACATTAAATGTCACCCATCATTGTGACAAGAATATAAAAGCTATTGCACACTAGCCAGGAGCCTAGATCAAAGCTGTTGATGCAAGCACTTTGGACATGGCTTTCTAAACTCAGTTAAACCGTCAAAAACACTATGTTTAGAACATCTTTACCTCCGAGCACCAAGAGAAATACAGAGTATTTTTACAAATGTAAGAACTCTCAGTAAGGCAGTAGCCTTGTCATCTTGTGACTCCAGACCATGTTAGTGCCAAAATGTGTGTCAAGACGGTCCTGGTGCTCACCGTATTTATAAACCCTTGAGCAGATTCTAGGGAGACCACCTCCTGCTGTCTAATCCAATAATACAATAGATGAGATTCTAATATTCTAAAAATCATGCAAAGTAATTCAACCCCAAAACACATAAGAAACTCCTATATTCTTTTTAACTTAGAAAAACTAATGTTATGTACTTAACACATACCGAATATTCTTGGATTTGTTATCTTTGCTAAGGCCAGGTTAGCCAATATTGCTAGCTTTCTTTTACTCTTTTTCCTATATTTGATCATATTCACTTGTTCATTTCAGTAACCTAAGACATTTCTCTGTAATAAAATTCTTACAAAAAATGGTTTAGTATTACTCTTCTTCCCCAGTTTATTTGTATTTAATTTTAAAATGTCAATCTTAGAATAAAATATGCAATATTATTATACGCTTGGTGAATTATTACTACAGTTCCATCAATCCTGTTGGAGGAAAATGTGTATAGCATTAGTCTCTTCTTTTAAGTTTGGTCTTCAGTTATTCACCTCTATACCAAATTACTAAGAACTCTAGACCAAGATTTACATGCTGATTTTCAAAACAGCTCTGGTCTTGAAGACACCTATTGTTAAAAGAAAAAAAAAATTTTTTTCTAACATTATGGGCATTTAAATTGGCTCCATTTTATAAATAGTATCTACTGTGTCCATATTATCAGTTGTTTAATAAAGAAAATATTTGAAGCAAGGTGAAAAATACCTCTCATTCTGAGTATAAAGGGTGGATTTCCTAACCAGACTCTTTATATGACTAACTGCTGTCTCTATACTAATATACCTAGGTCAGAGGAAAATAGAAAGAGAGAGGGAAAGGTTTAGGGACAAACGTGATTATGTACAAGTTTGTCATGTATAAGATTTCTTCCTAATCTTCTGTCAGCCAAGAGCTATGCTTAGGATATCCAGGATAAGGCCATTCCATATCTAGAATGCTGTACCTCAGGCTTATCTTTACTGTGAAAAGAGTTCTCAGCTAATTCAGACAAGCATGCTGATTATGTCATTATGCTATAAACAAGAAAGCAACTATTTGCAAGAGACCATCGATTATGAAACCATACCAAGAAAATAAGACCATATATCTCTTTCTTAATAATGGTTAAAAAAATTTAGAGCATTTGTTAAGTATTTCTTAGATAATCTTTTTCTATATAGGAAGGGTGAAGGGAAATTTTTAAGAGCTATCACAGTAACAATCTGCTTTTAAATTTAATTTTAGAAAACATAAATTCTAACAATTATGATCAGTACTTAATTTATTACAAAATTTTGTTGTTGACATGGTATTATTGTAGAACTTTGTTTCTGTGATGTTCAGTGAGAATGAAACACATAGATGAGAATTTTTTCAAATGTAAATGGTCTTTCTCTGTAATTATTATGGAGATGAAGATAAAAAGTATACATAAATAAAATGCCATATCTATATGTTAACATTAATATAATATAATAATATTAGTAAGTTCATTAGTGATCTCTAAATAACATAAGACACAGTCTTCATTCATAGGTAAAATAAAAATTCTGTGTTTATTTTGTATTGATAAGAAATACCATAATACCATTTATATTACAAAGGTAATTAAGTTCTGCAATGAAATCTGGACATTTTTGCCTGCTTTGCATATTATGAACTTTCATTGTGAGAGGAGTTCAATACCATATGACACTGAGTATTTTTTTAAGTGAAGTATATTGGATTTTAATTATATAAATTTATTTGGCTTTGGAAGTTCAGTTAAGAATTTAATTGGATTCTATTTCAAGAATTTCCTTTTAATCTGAGTTCTTAGTGTGTTGTTTTTAAATTTAGCAAATATTTATACATTATTTTAATATAGAGTATTGAATAAAATATTTCAGGAATAATCTTCAAAGAATTTATTTTCATATTATGTACTATTTACCAAGATATTTATTAGTTAATATAGGATATCTAACATTTTTTATCATTTAATAAAATATGTGTTAATTTACCTATAAATGAAGATATTATACTTAATTTTTGAAATTGTATGAGACTGTTTGCATTGAATAAGATGCTGAAATAGAATCATTTTCAAATTCCATTCATTTAATAACTAACAACAAAATATAACAGTAATATTCCAAAATTTAATGACACTAAAAAATTGCATATCAACTAATGTTACATTCTCAAAAAGAATGACATAGATGTATTTATTTTGTGTAAAATTAGCACAGGTTACCATAATTATACAGATATTATATCACTATTTTATTTGATAGTTATCAGTGAGAGTTAAAAATATTTTGAAAATTAGATCACTGCATAGCTGTTCCACGTCTCTATTTGCAAATGTAATTTTAAGCTAGAAAATAATTCAGATGTTTCAATATTTGCTTTTGAATGTAATCTCAGAAGATTTGGGCTCAGAAAATTAGGAATATCTGAAATTCCTAATACAAGTTTGAGGTAACTCAATAGTCTCTGCTTAAGGTCCCCTGGAAACTACATTAGACTTAATTCAGCTTGACTGATGCCTGCACAATTGTCTCAGAATGGTATCAGGACATTTGCCCCTAGGTTTTGATTTTATCCTTCCTGGGAACTTTTGTTAATTTGATTAAGAAGGAACAGGTGTACCTGCAGACAGCATGAAAGACTTTTTTCTATACTTTGGAGTATTTATTTTTCTGTTTGCCTTGTGGGCAGGCCATAGAGTTCTCCAACCATTGAATTATTTAAACTGTAATCTTTGAACTCATTTCTCTGACTACATATGAAACACGATGGTTTACATTGGCCGCTATAAAATATATGTAACTAATGCAAAGATGTTCAAAAATGAAAAGGCTGTTTTGTCTTCACAAGATACGGAAAAAGTTAGAGCTAAAGACTTATGAATTTTATAGTCCAAATTCTCATTTTTGAGGGGAGAATTCTAAACTTCAAATACAAATATTAATATGATCTACCATACAGCTACCAAAGCTATATGTACTCATGGTACCAATACAAATTTTCAGACAAATGCAAATGGTAATTGTCTGAAGGACTCATGTGTCAATATTAAATCAATTGGGGGAAATTATAAGTTTTCATAACATTTATATGTAAATATCAAAAATATCTGTGTATACCTATAAAAATGTGTATATATCAAAAATCTTATGCTATTCTAGAAGTGATTCCTCTTTTAACTGAATGAACTAAGTGGGTTTTTATTGTTTGTTTATTTTTTTTGCTAGGAACAAATATATGACTTCATTGAGAAAAGAATAAGTTTAAGAAAGGATAAATATCCTTAGTGACAAATTTATCAGAAGAAGCTATATAATACAATTGAAAAAATAACCTTCTTATTTAATATTTAATTTTGATAATAGAGCAAAAACATTTGTAGTTATACATTATAATTATTTTGTAGAAAAATGAGTAATTTTATGTGGAAAATAACGGTAGTTTTTTTATACATAAAGTGCTTATTTTTAATTAGCCTTGGTTCATTAAAAAAAAAAGCCTCCTTTTAAATCTTACCTCTTTGTTTTTTCTTATGACTTATTTATCAATTCAAATTAGTAAAATACACTATTTTACTGTCTCGCTCAAGAGCAAAATGAGGAAATAATTTTTATGGAATAATAATTTGGACGGCTTTTAGATTCTAATTAAAAAGAGTAAACTTTCCCACAGTTATAGCTTACTGACACAACCAGCATGCTTTCTGCCCAAAAAGGCAGTACAGTATATTTTAATAAGGTATGTGACTCTTAAAAGTTCATTATTTCAGCACCCCAAGGGAAATAAAGAAGAAGAAAAGTAAAATTATTGTGACTTTTGACAATTATTAGTTAGAAAAAGGAGGTAACAATTGCCAAAAAAATCACAAAAGTGAGCATGTTACCTGGCTATGACAAAGAGCACACAACTGACACCCAAGTAAGCCAGCAGAATATACATCCAGATATCAGGGGAGAGAGGATTCAGGAAGGAGAAGACGCCTGGGTTTGTACCATTGGGCTTGCGGTACAAAATACTTATTCCAAGTGTCATAAAGGGCTTGGAAAAGTCGATGACCTTCTCTCGAACGTAGGTAATAGCCAGTGGGGCAACTGCAAGGTCAGCTTTCTGTAGAGAGAAACAGAAAACAGGGGAAAAAATTGGTTCTAAGTCTCAAAAAAGAAGTCAGTATCCAAATTAAGCAAAACAAATACTTTATACTTGAGAATTGTCTGAGTAACTATTATGTTAACATTTAAAGTATTCTTGACCCTGAATTGAAGCATTTGATTTTTCTGTTACTCATTTCTATGTCCTTCTAGATTAGCAAACCAGCATTTGTTGCAAGTAGTTAAAATAAGAAAAAAAATATATGGAATGAAAAAACTGAAGAAACTATTGTACATTCAGTACCTGAATTATTATGCTGTGGAATCTTCTCATAATTATTTTTAATCTAAACTAAAAAAACACATTTAATATAAGTTATGGATCTCTAAATAACTTGGTCAAATTCTAAATAGTAATAATAATATCTACCTCAAATCATTTCGTTGATAATCAAGAAATATGTTTTCCTTATTTTAAAACTATAGAGTTCAGTTAAAAGGTTTAAGTCTTTAAATAGTTAACATTTTGAAAATCATCTTTTAATGTGATTGTGTTTACTGCCCTTGAGTTTTGTTTCTATCCCTCTAATTTGTTTTATATTATTTAATGAAAATCCTTGCAGCCTTGCCTAAATCGCATTAGGAAATGAGTTTTTCAATTTTCACAAAGTTGCTAATTTTCCACGGTAGCTTAAATATGTTAAATTACTAATGCTTTTCACTCATCATATTATAACCATCTGTCAGGGATGAACTTAAGCTGTAATATGTTACAGGAAATAATTTTAATATTTTAAATAATAAAGGCATCTATTCTCATATATAACGGGAAGCTATATCTCTACTTTCCTTTTATTTTCATAAACATACTGGGCTTTCAGAAGATAAATAAGAAATGCTGCTTGTAGAGAGCTACAGAAAGATGAACAAAATAATGAAATTGGGTTTTGTTTTCTTACCTCAAGGACTGTTGGAGAACTTAAAAAAAGAAACTTCACTAAAAGGCTAAGTTTGTTGACGATATTATTCTGGGTGTGTGTTTGGGTGCATTTGTGTTTTGGGTGTGTGTGGGAAAGGGGGAGCACTCAGATACCTGAACAGAGTACCTCTGAGCAGCAATGAAGACAGAGAGATATTTCTCTAAATGTTAGGAAGGAAAGAACAGGTCTTAAGGGTCCTGGAGAGGATATCATCACATTACATATTCATAAATCTAAGAAAATATCAATTTAGCAATAATACTTGGTAATGTTCTTTAAGCATGTGCTGTGCAACAGGCATTGTGTGGTAAGCACTTTACATGAATTGTCACATTTAATCCTTACACAATCCTACTATTATTCCTATTTTAAGATAAGGAAACTGAATCTATGAGAAGTCAAAAACTTGTTCATGGTCACAGAGCTAACTGAGCATTGGAACCAGGACCTAAACCCCAAGCTATTGGAATCTATACCTAGAGTTAAGCATGAGATGCATCTCAGAAGCCAGAAATGGAATGATGGAGACATTCATTCATTCCTTTATTAAAGAATCTGTAGAGATGGAAAGGAGAATATATAGAAGCAAGGTCAGTAATTAATAGATTACAGTCACTGACAATTTAGAGGGTCAGGTGCAGAATTTAGGAAGATGGAATACTTTCCACAAGGAAGAAATAGCACTTCCTCTAAGACAGAAGGGAAGGAACTACAGACGGTTTGAAAAAGTAAGGATGTTTGTTAGGGAAAAAGAGTGATCATTTAAGAAACAGATTCTAGGTTAAAAAAATGGACAACCTGAAATGGTGGCTTACTTCTGTTCAGGGGATTGAGTATACAGCACAGTTTATCTATGTACCATTTCACTTTTGTAACCCTCCCTCACTGTAGGCACATGAAAAGCAAAATTTTATAACATGTAAAGCATGTAAGTGAACATGCTTTAAGCTGGTAAAATATTTTTTAAATTCAAAATAGATATTAACAAAAGTTAGGGAATAATTCAAGTAACATCTATTAAGACAAAACCACTACATTATTCTAAAAAAAAAAGTCGTTCCACAGGCATATATTAATATGATTGACTAGACATCCATCAAATTTCAAAATTTACTTAGCATTGCCTAAAGTAAAATTTCTATCCCAAATATAAAATGAATATAAGACAAAACATCACACAGTAAAATTCTTTCAATTATAAAAGAAATTAGTCATTTGAAACAAAAGATATAAACAGACACTTTTGGCATTTAATTTAAAAAAATAAATGTATCGAGAGGGGAAGATGGTGGTGTAGGAGGAAGCTGGACTCACCTCCTCCTGCTGATCACTTAGATTCCACCCACACCTGCCTAAATAACCCAGAAAACCACCAGAAGACTAGCAGAATGGACTCTCCAGAGCCAAGCTTAGACAAAAGGCCCACAGAAGACTGTAGGAAGGGCAGAGAGGCAGTGCGTGCTACACAGACTGGCGGGATGGAGCTGGGGCAGTGGAGGGGCAGCACGCCCAGCAAGGCAGAGCCCCTGAGTCTGGCTACAAAAGCCGAGGGGCCGGACTCCATGAGTTCTGACAGCCAGCAGGACTTAACACCTGGAATGTTAAAAGTGAACTGCTCTGCTCTCATGGGGAGGGCGAGAGGACACCAGGAGTTAGAATTGTTGAGCCCTAGAAGATAGAGCTAAGCTCAGCTGGGGAACAAAGGCACTGGCAAGTGCCATCTCCTTCTCCCATCCCCCAGCAGAAATTCCAAAGGGAACCAGTTCCGGTCACTGAACTTGCTTGCACTGTGCAAAAGCCCAATGCTGTGCTTCTGTGGATACATTCCTCCAACGGGACTGCCTCCATCCCAGTGCTGCAGGGTTCCTCCCGCAGGACACCAGAGACGGCAAAGCCAGCTAAGCCTGCCCCTCCTGCCCCTGTGCACTTTGCAGATCCATCCCAGCTAATAACTCAGATCCCATCGAAACAGCACCACAAGCCTGGCAGTGTGCAAGAGGCCCAGACATGGGCCACACCACACCACTATCTTCCCTGGGAGAGGGGAAGATAAGGTACATACCAGTCTGACTGTGGCCCCAGCGGTGGGCTGGGGACAGACATCAGGTCTGACTGCGGCCCCACCCACCAACACAAGTTACTCCAGACAGCACAGGGGAAGTGCCCTGCAGTTTGGAGCCACCACAGGGACTACCCAAAATGAGAAAACAGAAGAAGTCTCCTCAAAAGAAACTCCAGGAAGTAGTGACAGCTAATGAATTGATCAAAAACGATTTAAGCAATATAATAGAACAAGAATTTAGAATAATAGTCATAAAATTAATCACTGGGCTTGAAAAAAGCATAGAGGACAGAAGAGAATCTATTGCTATAGAGATCAAGGGACTAAGAAATAGTCATGAGGAGCTATAAAATGCTATAAATAAGGTGCAAAATAAAATGGAGGTGGCCATAGCAGGGATTGAAGAGACAGAGGAGAGAATAGGTGAATTAGAAGATAAAATTATGGAAAAAGAGGAAGCTGAGAAAAACAGAGATAAAAAAATCCAGGAGTATAAGGGGAGAATTAGAGAACTAAGTGATGCAATCAAATGGAACAATATCCGTATCATAGGAATTCCAGAAGAAGAAGAAGAGAGAGAAAGGGGCTGAAGGTGTACTTGAAGAAATCATAGCTGAGAACTTCCCTGATCTGGGGAAGCAAAAAAGACATTGAAATCCAAGAGGCACAGAGAACTCCCTTCAGATGTAATTTGAATAGATCTTCTGCATGACATATCATAGTGAAACTGGCAAAATACAAGGATAAAGAGAAAACTCTGAAAGCAGCTAGGCATAAACAGGTCATAACTTACAAAGGTAGACACATAAGAGTAGTAGCAGACCTATCTACTGAAACTTGGCAGGCCAGAAAGGAATGGCAGGAAATCTTCAATGTGATAAACAGAAATAAAATGCAGCCGAGAATCCTTTATCCAGCAAGACTGTCAATCAGAATAGAAGGAGAGATAAAGGTTTTCCCAAAAAAACAAAAACTGAAGGAATTCATCACCACTAAA